GGAATCCACACTGTAGTAGAGCAGCCTGCAGCTGCTGTTGCAGCTCATGTCCTGTACCTGTACCTGGCCAGCCTGGTCCCCACTGGAACCCAGGGAAGCCACCCACACTGCTAGATATACACAGAAATGCAGAATGAGCCTCCCCTCATACATATAACACAAACTGTGGCGAAACCACTGTGGCCACTGTACACTGGAGAAGCCTGGTTGCTCGCCTGCTGCCTTTGGACTATGGCCCCATGTTAAAAGACATCTTTTTCCCTGCAGAAAAGACTTATTCGTGCTTTTCTGCCGGGTGTTCGGTAGATTCAATCTACCGAACAACCGCACAAATGAATAGACCACCTGGGAGCTGGAGTGTGCCGGCAATTAACCTCCCTGAAGCTGCGGTTAACCGCAGCTTAATTGACGAATGCTGGGTGGCAGCCATTCGTATCACGAACACGAGGTCGCGGCCATTTTAAACATGCGAATGCACAGCGGTGTTCGACGCTTAATTCATGGAACTGAAATCGGACACAGTTTTGCGCGAACACCGCTGAAGCTGCCGACCTCCCTTCTTGTTCGGTGAAAGTGCACGAACGGCCCGATGTTCGGTAGTTTTGTTTGAGTGTGTTGTACCCCAGATAGGAAACCCATGGAGCCCATTCGCATGAAACTGACTGTGTAAAGACTTTGGCTCCATGGCGATTAAACTGTATTCGTGTGGTCTGAGCGCCATTCGCTTAATAATGTGTGCTCAGACCTGAGCTATCTGGGGATATGTAGAACGTATATGTTTTATGTACTGAATGTAACTGTAGGTAATTTTATGTCTTTTACTGTTTGTTTTCTGCCATGTGGTTAATGGAGGTTTGCCTCTGTCTTTGGAGATAATTGAATTACTTCTCAATTATCTCCAGAGCAGAGAGGAGGGATTGTGATGCATTGTGGGATGGTTGAAATGTGTAAGTCTGTGATTGGTCCTTTTACCCTTTGTGTCACAGTCTCCCATTTGGTCCCCTAGGGGAGTGTCCACCAGGTGGGAGACCTGCATAAAAGCCAGGCAGTTAGCCCCAGTAAATCAGTTCCTGCTTAACCCTCAAAGTGAAGTGTTGTCTCATTATTGGGGGAGGATTTATTGTATGCTGCTCCAGTTTGACTGCCAGGAGTGTAAACCTATTCGCATGGTTTTTCCTATTCGGCTGTATACAACATTCAAATGCTTAAAAGTACTCATATGCTTCTCCTGTTCGGTGCTTGTGGTGTCTGCCAGAGTGCTTGGAGTCCTCAGGAAACGCTAGGAGCATCCTTTAACGGAGGTACCCAGTCGGGGTGCCAGGTGATCCGTTACATTGGTGGCAAGCGACGGGATCATTCTCACAGCCCAGAAGGACAGCTACAAGGTAACACCATTCCCTGGATTTACAAATTGAGGGTAACGCTAGTACCCGTACAGCGCCCCTATCTACAGAGGAACCAACTTCGGCAGAGCAAGCATGGCGTCTGGCTACACTCAGGAGCAGTTGGACAGAGGGGTTAATGAGGTGCTGTCACTCTGGGGATCCATCCCCTTTGAGGAAACCGTGCAGCTCGTGAGGAAGGGAATGAGAGAGTACCTGCAAGCCCGAGCAGAGTGGGCCAGGGGGGAGATTCCCCAGCGGCAGTGTGAGTCCCAGGGAGCCGAAGGTGTTGTCCTTCATCCCCAGCGGCAGTGTGAGTTCCAGGGAGCCGAAGGTGCTGTCCTTCCTCCCCAGCGACAGTGTGTGTCCCAGGGAGCTGAAGGTGTCGTCCTTCCTCCCCAGTGGCAGTGTGTGTCCCAGGGAGCTGAAGGTGTCGTCCTTCCTCCCCAGCGGCAGTGTGTGTCCCAGGGAGCTGAAGGTGTCGTCCTTCCTCCCCAGCGGCAGTGTGTGTCCCAGGGAGCTGAAGGTGTCGTCCTTCCTCCCCAGCGGCAGTGTGTGTTCCAGGGAGCTGAAGGTGCCATCCTTCCTCCCCAGCGGCAGTGTGTCCCCCAGGGAGTGGAAGGTATCGTCCTTCCTCCCCAGCGGCAGTGTGTGTCCCAGGGAGCTGAAGGTGTCGTCCTTCCTCCCCAGCGGCAGTGTGTCCCCCAGGGAACTGAAGGTGTCATCCTTCCTCCCCAGCGACAGTGTGTGTCCCAGGGAGCTGAAGGTGTCGTCCGTCCTCCCCAGCGGCCGTGTGTGTTCTTAGGAGAGGAGACAGTTGGTCCCTCTCCTCAGCAGTCAAGTGAGTCTCAGGGAGCCGAAGGTACCGTCCTCCCTCCCCAGCGGCAGGACAATATATTGAAAGGGGAAACAGTCGGTTCCCCTCTCCCCCAGCAGGGAGAGTGTCAGGGAGAAGAGCTTGTTGCCCCCTCTCCACAGCAGCAGCGTGGCCCACCAAGGAGAAACATTAAGCTCCCCACCGGCGCAGATGGGACCGTGGTCTCTGCGCCCAAGCTACAGAGAGTATGGACCGCTGGTCTGGCTCCCCAGCGGCAGAGTATTCTACCAGGAGGGGAGAATACTTCCCAGCGGCGGCCTAGCCCACCAAGGGGAGATGAGAAGCCCCACAACTGTGCAGATGGGACCGTGGTCTCTGCACTTACAGCACAGAGGGGAGGGACGGTCAGTTTTGCCCCCCAGCGACAGGGCTGTTTAGCCAAAGGGGAGACAGTCGGTCTTCCCCTCCAGCAACCAGGCTCCAACCAGACTACTCCCGTGGTAGTGCTGGCACCAGGACAGAGTACCACTGGTCTCTGCCCACTCAGCAACCCACCCAGTCCGCTTACCAGTCACCCACACAGCCATGGTGAGGCGTCTGGACATGGACAACGTTCTCCTCTACCCAGGTGTAGTAACCAGTTCTTGTGGGTGGGCTGTATTACTGATTGTGTTTTGTGGGTGGGCTGCTGGACTAACAAGGGCACTGACCGGCATTAGGTCAGATACCCTGTTAGTCTGATTGGTAAAGGGGAGAAGTGTGGCGAAACCAACCTCGCCACTGTACACTGGAGAAGCCTGGTTGCTCGCCTGCTGCCTTTGGACTATGGCCCCATGTTAAAAGACATCTTTTTCCCTGCAGAAAAGACTTATTCTACCGAACAACCGCACGAATGAATAGACCACCTGGGAGCTGGAGTGTGCCGGCAATTAACCTCCCTGAAGCTGCGGTTAACCGCAGCTTAATTGACGAATGCTGGGTGGCCGCCATTCGTATCATGAACACGAGGTCGTGGCCATTTTAAACATGCGAATGCACAGCGGTGTTCGACGCTTAATTCATGGAACTGAAATCGGACACAGTTTTGCGCGAACACCGCTGAAGCCGCCGACCTCCCTTCTTGGTCGGTGAAAGTGCACGAACGGCCCGGTGTTCGGTAGTTTTGTTTGAGTGTGTTGTACCCCCATATAGGAAACCCATGGAGCCCATTCGCATGAAACTGACTGTGTAAAGACTTTGGCTCCATGGCGATTAAACTGTATTCGTGTGGTCTGAACGCCATTCGCTTAATAATGTGCGCTCAGACCTGAGCTATCTGGGGATATGTAGAACTTCTCAATTATCTCCAGAGCAGAGAGGAGGGATTGTGATGCATTGTGGGATGGTTGAAATGTGTAAGTCTGTGATTGGTCCTTTTACCCTTTGTATCCCAGTCTCCCATTTGGTCCCCTAGGGGAGTGTTCACCAGGTGGGAGACCTGCATAAAAGCCGGGCAGTTAGCCCCAGTAAATCGGTTCCTGCTTAACCCTCAGTGAAGTGAAGTGTTGTCTCATTATTGGGGGAGGATTTATTGTATGCTGTTCCAGTTTGACTACTAGGAGTGTAAACCTTTTCGCATGGTTTTTCCTATTCGGCTGTATACAACATTCATATGCTTAAAAGTACTCATATGCTTCTCCGGTTCGGTCATTGTGGTGTCTGCCAGAGTGCTTGGAGTCCTCAGGAAACGCTAGGAACATCCTTTAACGGAGGTACCCAGTCGGGGTGCCAGGTGATCCGTTACACAAACAGCGCACACACAAACACAAAACACAATCTGCACAAACGTAACCCGCTAACAATCCACATATATGCACACAATCTCACATGCAATACCCCAAACAGCCTCCACACATACACACACTACCAAACACACAATGTGACATATCCATCCACACAATTCCACAAGCAGCCCCCATACACAGCACACATTCATAGGTATCATACACAACACCACAAACTACTTGTAAACATATACAATATAATAGCTCATATATGCACAAATACAACAATACAAAGCAATTACAGTATAAATAACACAAGCAGAATATGGCAGCATACACACCTCAATTTAAAAAAATAGGACAGGCACGCTACGGGACATCACAACCTATATTGGCACAGTGCTGCTAAAAGGTTGCCTACCCCTGTTCTAGAGGGAGTGGGGTATAGTTACACAAAGGGTAAAAGTAGGGGTACAAAGTAGGTTGTTAGAAAAGTATTCACTGAGGGCTTAGTAGGTAATTTTTGAAAGTTGCAGGAGAGGAGTCATGGGGGTGGGGGATAAAAACCTGATATTAATTGATATGCTTTCTTGAAGAAGTGAGTTTTCAATGATTTTTTTGAATGAGTAGAGACTGGGTGAAATTCTTACGGAAAAGGGAAGGGAGTTCCACAGAAGAGGTGCAATCCTGGAAAAGTCTTGGAGGCGAGTGTTAGAGGTGGGAGTATGGACAGAGGATATAAGTAGGTCTTTGGCAGAGCATAGGGGCCTCGAAGGGATAGATGGGTTGGAGCAGCATTATGTATGTAAGGACTTGTAAGCAAGCACCAGAGTTTTAAATTGAGTCCTATATCTAACTGAAAGCCAATGCAGGGACTCACAGAGCGGGGAGGCGTGGGAGGTGCAACCGAACAGGAAAATGAGCCTCGCCGCTGCATTCATTATAGATTGCAACGGTGCACTCTGGGAACCCGTAAGACTACTGAGAAGAGTATTGTAGTGGTCCAGGCGAGAGAGAACAAGAGCAGGGACCAGCACCTTAGCTGCATCCGGGGTTAAATAGGAGGCAGATGCGCGCTACGTTTTTGAGATGCAAGCAACAGGATTTGGCGGCTGATTGGACATGAGGGGTGAAGGAGAGGTTGTAGTCCAAAAGAACACCCAGGCAGTGAGCCTGCGAGGTAGAGGTGATGGTAGTGCCATTGACTTGGAGGGAGACAGATACGGGAGTAGTAATACTTGAGGGAGGAAAGACCAGAAGTTCTGTTTTGGAACATGAAGTATTATCCTTCCCAAATGCATATACACATATCAAATACTAGGGACTACACACTGAAAACGCTCTTAACTTAAATTATGCATTCTCATTAAAATGCAGCTGATCTCTTACACCCA